CGTATGGAGGATTTTCGCTGAACGGTGAGTTTTTTGCCCATAGGAACACATTAAACGTGTTTTAATTCATTCCTATGGGCTTTTTTGTTTCGTATAGCGATGATTTTTCCGGAACGGGTTATCGTCGCTATGCGGGGCACCACTGTAAAAGTTTTTCCACTTCTTCCATCAGGGGTGGCCTATTCTTTCTTTAAGATGGCGCCAATAGTTGACTTTGCCATCTTGAATTCAGCGGCCTGATCAGACAAACGCATGCCATTTTCATGCTTTTCAATTATGACCTTTTTCATTTTAATGCAGATTTTGTTTGTTTGTTTGTTTGCCTTTGCTCTGTTCTTTCTTTGGAGCCATGACTATTCAGCACACCACAGTACACAAACTCTAAAAGCCACAGAATCCAGCAAGCATTCCAGCACAGAACTCCTCATCACAAAAAGAGAGCATAGAGAGAGAGAGAGAGATAAGACAATTGGGGGAGGGGAGAGAGCCTTGAGTCTACAGTAGACTCCATTTTAAGCTCCATTTTAAAGCCTGCCTGCATCAACAGCCAGCAACCATTATTACAGCAAAGAGATCCCCAAAGAAAAAGACTTACATGCCACATTTTAAACCCACATATTTTAAAACAACAGAGAGGTCAAAGTACACAAACCCTAGAAGCCACAGAATGCAAAAATAAATAAATTTTACATTTTAAAATTACATTCTTACTTTCACATTTAATTTTAATTTAATATTACAGTCTACTTTTCACATTTTAAATTCACACTGCAAGACCCATCAGAGCACAGAAACATAACTCCCCACCCTCCCCTCCTAGCCCTCCCCCCACCAAGCTGCTAAAAACCCTATACAGTACAGTAAATACAGTGTACTCACCCAGAACAGGCAGTCTCTCTGTTTTTTTTTAAAGTCAAAAACCAAAATTTTTTAAAAAGCCAAAATAAATTGCAGTCTGTACAATACAGTACCAGACAATACCAGGCAGTACCAGGCAGTCTGAAGACTCTCTCCGTATCCACACTCTCTAACCGCTGGGGCAAGCAAGGTAGCAGACAAGCAGCCTCTTCGCTGGCCAACGGTCAACTCAAAGTTCAAATTTCATGCTTTCCCCGTCTCCCCCATTTTTTTCTTTGTAACTCAGTGCTCTGACCACAAGGCGAAGCAATATTTTGTGGCCGGAGCTTTTCATATCTCAAAATTTTCACAACTAGGGACATTCGTAAGTCGAGGCACCACTGTAAATCTATATCAGCAAATGTGAAAGAAATTGTTCTGAAGGTAGTGTATCTGTAGCATCTATAGCCTACAAAGTTACATAGAATTAATAAAGATTTATTGGATAAATGTTGGAAGAACTATGGACTAGAAGAAACTTTGGAACATATGTGGATTTCTTGCCACAAAATAGAAGCATTCTGGCACAAGGTAATTAGATGGATAGAGATGCTGACTAATCAAAAATAGATATGAATGGACTTCCGGCTTGACGTCGCGACGAGATAGCAGCAGGAGGACAGAGCTCTGTCCCCCGGGCTGAATTCTGACCTTGTTTGTGACACCGTAGGGTGTCGGAACCACCCTTGGG